ATACCTTTGTTATTTCTCTACTAATTAGTAAAAATTTGATAATTTAAATTAAAATTATTAACTCTTCATTAATTGTTTTGAATAGAACAAAATTTTTTTTCAATCTTTTTTTTTCATTTTTTCATATCATTAAAATTTGAAAAGTCTGATAACAGTTATCATTGTTAGCGATAATTTACATTCAACAATGAAATTAATACGAAGAATTTTGATGCTAATTAATTTTAATTAATTAATTAATGCTTTTAAAGAATTGCAAAAAAAAAAAAAAAAAAAACGAAAACGAAAATGAAACATTTCAAAAATGAACTAATTAAAAGTTTTTCCAATCAGTTATCACTTTCAAACAAAATAATTTTTAAAAATTAAAAAATTAGAAATTGAAAAAATAAAAACAAAAAATGATGGAAATCTTTTTTGAATATTTATAAATGATATTTTATACATTGACAAAAAATTCATTCTTTTTGAATTTATTATTTGTCGCATAAAAATAAATTAAAATGATAAAATGACATTTGACCTGATTTATCTGAGAGTGATATTTCAGTTAATTAAGTAAAATTATTTCGATTACTTTCGTTTATTGTAAGAGTTATTTGAAATAACAGAGTAAAAAACAAAGTAAAAAAAATTTAAAAAGTAAAATAAATAAATTAGTAAATAAATTGTGTACTATTTTTTTTTTGGTAAATAAAAAACAAAAAATAAAATGATATATTAATTTGATAAGTTGAAAATGTTAATTTAAATAAAAATGAATTATATACTATTTTTTTGATAAATAAAAACAAAAAATAAAGTAATATATTAATTTGATAAGTTGAAAATGTTAATTTAAAAAAGAGAAATTAAACTTGAAATAAAGCGATGATTGGTGCATTTTTTTATTTTTTATTTTTTTTTTTTTTTGCTGAAAATATTTTGATGAATTATTTGAAACAAACAAAATTTTACAATGATCTTACTCAAAAGTGCTAAATAATTTATTAAAAATTTATCAATAAAATTAATTGATACATTCACTGCTAAAGGAAATGGCTAAACAATTTAAGCTTTAATTAATTAATTAATCAAAAACAATTAATTTATGTTATTTATAAATAATCTTTTATTATGAAATTTCAAATGATATTATTTCCACACTATTTATTAATTTTCAAAATTGTAATAAAATATTTTAATTGGTTTTTTTTTTTGAAATTTATACTAAAAATTTAATGTCAATATGAACTAATAAATAAAATGTAAAATTAAAGGCCATAAAATTTTTTGTAAAATGCTAATTTTCTTCTTGTTTTTATCACTTTATTATTGTTGTTGTTGTTTTATGATAATTTAAAATAAACAAAATAAGCAAACAAAAATAAACAAAAAAAAAAAAAGAGAGAGAAAAGCTAAAAGGTAAAAAGAATTAAGGGAAAATTGTTGTACCATCGAGAAGGTCTAAAAATAAAAGGAAATGGTGATTTTGTCCTTACTCAGAACAAAATTGTAAATTTCCATCCAATTACGACAAGTTTTCCAGTTTTTGGTGACAAGGAATTTTTCGATTCAAAGTTTCTCTCTCTCTCTCTCTCTCTCCTTTTTTTTTTTTTTTTTTTCTCGCATTCATATCACATTTTTCACTTTTGTTATTTTTCTCACTGTTGCTTTTGTTGTCATTCATAATGTTATTGTTGTTTTTTTTTTTTTTTGTTGAAAATGTTGCTGTTAATGTTATTTATTATTGCTATTGTTACTGCTATTATCGTCATTATTATTACTGTTTATTATTATTGCAATTATTATTATCAATTATTATTATTATTATCATTATTTTAATATTATATTCTTCTCACTAGCTGTTACTGTTGCTTTTATTGCTGCCATTACTGTTGTTAATTGTTGTTATTGTTAATAATGTCATTGCTGTTGCTATTATTGCCATTACTGTCGTCATTGACATTATTCATTATTATTATTATTACTGTTCTCATTAGCTGTTACTGTTGCTTTTACTGTTGTCATTACTGTTGTTATTGTTGTTACTTTTGTTAAGAATGTCATTGTTGTTATTATTATTGTCATTACTGTTGTTATTAATATTATTTATTATTGTCACTATTTATTATTATAGTTGCTTTCATCAGCTGTTATTGTTGCCATTACTGCTGTTAACTATTATCATTGTTGTTAATAATGTCATTGTTGTTGCTACTGTTGTCATCACCGTCGTTATTGATATTGTTTCTTATTATTATTACTAATAATTATTATTATCATTATTATTATTGTTATCACTGTTATTGTTATCATCATCATCATTATTACTATTATTATTATCATCATCATCATCATCATCGTCAACATTATTACTATTATTATTAATTAATTATCTATAGCCATTTTTTCTCTTACTTTCTTCATATCTTTTATTTGAAGTGAACTAATGAAAAATTGAAATTTACAAAATTATGATGTATCATCACGGAATAGATTTGATAGTTTTTTTTTTTTTTTTTTAATTTCTATTAGTTGTAAATATGAAAATTACTGATAGAAAAGAATTAGAAAAAAAAAAAATGAATTATCTTTTTTTTTTTTTTTCTTCAACATTTTATCAAACATTTCGAAAATTTAATCACATTCTTTCTTTTCTTCCAAAATTTATTTCTTTTTTTTGTTGTTGCGGTCATACACGATTAGGTCACCACCGCCACCATTACCGCCACCATCACCGCCACCATCACCAAATAATAATAACAGAAACGTACGCCTACGGAATTTATTTTTCCTTGCGGCTATTCCAATACTTGCAAAAAATTGTATTTAACCTTTGAAAAATAAATCAAAAAACAAAAGAAATATAAATTGTTTTTTGTTTTTGTTTTTAAATTAAAAATAAATTTTTTTAAAATTTTTAAAAAAATTTTAAATTCTAACAAATTTAAATGAATTGAATAAGATTTGAAAGAAATAATGCAAAAAACAAAAAAAAAAAAAAAGAGTTAAGGAATAAAAAGAATAGCAACAAAAATTAATGAATATTTATTGGAAGTGAAAATTAAAATTTTGAAGAAATGATTTTTTTTTTCAAATAATAAAATGAAAAAAAACTTAGTATTAATTTTATAATAACAATCAATTTTTTTTTTTTATGATTTTATAATATTTTAATCAATTATTCTTCTTTTTTTTTAACATCAATTTTTTTTTTATAATTTTATAATATTTTAATATAATATTAAATTTATTACAAATAATTAATAAAAGCTTTTTTTCATTTTTTGCTTCAATATCTCTTTTTTTTTTTTGAAATTGCTAATATTAATTATTATCATAATTTTAAAATTATTGAATGATATTTTGAGGCTTTGTAGGAGAGAAATGCATTAATTAGTAATAATTTTATTCATTAGTAAAAATTAGTTAATAAAAAAAAGAAATTTGTTAGCATTTTCTTAAACATTTAAAGTAATAAATGTAAAATTTTGAAACATTTTCAAAAATCAATTTTATGAAACATTTCAATGAAACATTTCAAAAATCAATTTTACTCCATTCAATATTATTTAGAATAAAAAAAAAAAAAAGAAAATATTAAACGAAATTAAATAATCCAAAAATTTTCGAAATTTCATTAAATGATTTAAATCATACATTTTTCTCCTCTTACTTTTTTTTATTTTTTGAAATAATAAAGCAAATTTAACTCCACATTTTTATTTTAATTGTTAATTAAAAATAATAATAGCAATTCTTATCTTTATAAATTCAGTCCAGATGATAACTTTCAACCATAAAATCAATTATTTAATCAGTTTATCAGAAGTAATCATAGCATTCTTTGGTGATAAACTATTCAGATCAAATTTTGAAAATATGAAAAAAAATAATTGATTTTATCATTTGATTGAAATAATTTCAAACTTTTGAATTATGCTAAATTTGATAACACTAAGAATTTTTATGATAATTAGAAATCATTTGTTACATATTTTAGCATGTTCGCCTTCATTTGTCTAATTGTTCATTTATTAGTTTAAACTATTTTATTCTCTTGACCTTTGAACTTCTCTTGTAATTTTTTACGTAATTGATTTGTTTGTGATTTTATGACACTAATCACGTCACTACAGATTAGTGTCAATTTTCAAGTTAATTCAACCACATCAAATCATATCAACAATAATCCATCAATTACTGGATAAACACAAAACTTTTAGGTATGAATTTTTCTAAATAATAGCTTATATTGTTTGTTTGTTTATTTATTTATTTATTCATTTATCTATTTATTTATTTATTGGTTTATTCATTTATCTATTTATATATGGATAATAATTTATTCTAAATAATGTTTTATCGTTTTTTTTTTTTTTTTATTTATTTACTTGTTTGGTTAGTTATTTATTTGTGGATAATAATTTATTCTAAATAATGTTATATCGTTTTTTTTTTTTTTTGTTTATTTATTTACTTGTTTGGTTAGTTATTTATTTGTGGATAATAATTTATTCTAAATAATGTTATATTGTTTATTTATTTATCCTTTTATCAAATTATTTATATATAATAATTTCCGGCAAATGTATTTTAATCTGATATCATTGTTATTAATTTTGAAAAAAAATTAAATAATATATTTAAACTTAAAAACTTTTATAATTTACCATTTCAGTATAATTCTCCAGAAAAGACGCTAACATCCGGAAATTTATGGATTAGTTTATGTTTGTTTTATTTTTTTATTGTTTATGTTTGTTTTAGATTTTTTTTGAAAAAAAAAAAACCTTTATGAAATAAAAAACATAGAATTATGATAAAATATTGATTTTCCTCTCATTGCAATCTTTGTTTTTTCCGGAACAAATGAAAAGTTTCGATGGCCAAAAAAAAAAAAAAACAAACAATTAAATAAAACAAACTTTCATATTTTTTTTTTACTGTTAAATTTATTATGCTATATTCAACATTATATTTCGGAAAAGATAATCATTCAATAAAAACTGAATGAATTATAAATGATAACTTTCACTTTTCCGGTATACTTCACGATCATTTATCAGTATACGTTCCGGTTTTAGCTTTTGTTTTTCACTTAATTTACCATCTTTATTTTTCACTTGTAAATTTATATTTAATTGAATCTGAAAAAATTAATTTCAAATATTAGCAATAATTATCAAAATTGAAACTAATTTCATCTCTTTTTTTTTTGTAATTGTTTATTGTTTATTTGTTTTGTTTATTTGTTTACCTGTTTTGTTTTTTTCATCATATATTTTAAGAATATATTTTCAATTTCAAAAAATTTCATATTTCATTTCAATTTTTTATTTGTTCTGTTTTTTTTTTATCATATATTTTAAGACTATATTTCAATTTCAAAAAAATTTTTTTCATATTTCATTTCAATCAGAATTTCTTTAAAGTAAAAAAAAAAAAGAGAGAAAATCTTTTAATGTAAATTTGTAGTTAAATGCAAATTCAAAAATTTGCAAACTAATTTGTAATCTGAAAATTTGTAAAATAATTTTTGATTTAAAAAATTTTTAATTAATTATATTTTACAGTTTGCTAGAACAATTTATTAATAAATGAAACATACGGTAAGATTTTCGTCATCTTTCGATTCAATCATTATTGAAGTTCCATCTTTTTGACCATCCTAAATATTCCATTTTAAAATATCTGAACTATTTTTTAATTAAAATTCGAATATTTATTCGAATGGCTATTTTTAATTAAAATTCGAATTTGTATTCGAATAGTTATTTTTTAATTAAAATTCGAATATTTATTCGAATGGCTATTTTTTAATTAAAATTCGATTATATGTATAGAATCATTATAGAAGTTCCATCTTTTTGACCATCCTAAATATTCCATTTTAAAATATTTGAACTATTTTTTAATTAAAATTCGAATATTTATTCGAATGGCTATTTTTAATTAAAATTCGAATATGTATTCGAATAGTTATTTTTTAATTAAAATTCGAATATTTATTCGAATGGCTATTTTTTAATTAAAATTCGATTATATGTATAGAATCATTATAGAAGTTCCATCTTTTTGACCATCCTAAATATTCCATTTTAAAATATTTGAACTATTTTTTAATTAAAATTCGAATATTTATTCGAATGGCTATTTTTAATTAAAATTCCAATATGTATTCGAATAACTATTTTTTAATTAAAATTCGAATTTGTATTCGAATAACTATTTTTAATTAAAAATCGAATATGTATTCGAATAACTATTTTTAATTAAAAATCGAATATGTATTCAAATAACTATTTTTTAGTTAAAATTCAAATATATATCTATACAAATGTGTATTTCAACATTTGCCATGAAATAATTTAAAATATTACTAATTTCCAATTTCAATTTCCAACTTTTATATATGTAAATTATTTAATGAATTTCAGGTTGATAAAAGGAGTAATCTAAACTAGAAAAGTAAGCAAGCAATTTTCATTGTTATTCGAGAATTAATTACTAAAAATTTTTTATTTTTTGAAGGAAATATTATTAAAATTAAAAAAAAAAATGTTTTTATTATTCGAGAATATACTACTAAAATTTGAAAAAAAAAAAAAAGAAATCTTTGATATTACCGTAGATCCTTTTTTTTTAATTAATGTATCAGAAATTGATGAAACTTTTTTTGTCCTGAAATTAAAAAATAAAAATAAAAAAATTGAATGAAAATATTCGAGAAAAATGTAAAGAAAAGTTTTTTTTTTTTTATTATAAAACAAAGTAAATTTAAATTAATGTTGGTTTATCATCAAATTTTTCAATTTTATACTGAAATTATAACAATGTAAAATTACTTTCGCGTTGCGTAATTCACTTACGTGCTTGCTTTTGATGCTAATGGCGCTTCTATTGTTGGTACATTTGCGCCAGATGATTTTAGTGTAGTGGAAGATATGGGAATAACAATACTTTTTGCTGCAATTCAAAAAAAAAAATATATTAATAAAATAATTGAATTTCATTGTATTTCATCGAGCATAATTGACGTCCGTTATAAATTTTTCATTAAAAAATGACGTAAACGAAAGTAAAGAAATGAAAGTTAAAGTAAAACTATTGAGAGTAAAAAAATGAAAGTTAAAGTAAAACTATTGAAAGTAAAGAAATGAAAGTTAAAGTAAAACTACTGAAAGTAAAGAAATGAAAGTTAAAGTAAAACTATTGAAAGTAAAGAAATGAAAGTTAAAGTAAAACTATTGAAAGTAAAGAAATGAAAGTTAAAGTAAAACTATTGAGAGTAAAAAAATGAAAGTTAAAGTAAAACTATTGAAAGTAAAGAAATGAAAGTTAAAGTAAAACTACTGAAAGTAAAGAAATGAAAGTTAAAGTAAAACTATTGAAAGTAAAGAAATGAAAGTTAAAGTAAAACTATTGAAAGTAAAGAAATGAAAGTTAAAGTAAAACTATTGAGAGTAAAAAAATGAAAGTTAAAGTAAAACTATTGAAAGTAAAGAAATGAAAGTTAAAGTAAAACTACTGAAAGTAAAGAAATGAAAGTTAAAGTAAAAATATTGAGAGTAAAGAAATGAAAGTTAAAGTAAAACTATTGAGAGTAAAGAAATGAAAGTTAAAGTAAAACTATTGAGAGTAAAGAAATGAAAGTTAAAGTAAAACTACTGAAAGTAAAGAAATGAAAGTTAAAGTAAAAATATTGAGAGTAAAGAAATGAAAGTTAAAGTAAAAATATTGAGAGTAAAGAAATGAAAGTTAAAGTAAAACTATTGAAAGTAAAGAAATGAAAGTTAAAGTAAAACTATTGAAAATTATTACTTTGTACTGGTTGTTCTAATTCTGATTGATCTGCAAATATTTTTGACTTTTCAAACCCTAAAATTTATTTCTTTAATTTAAGAAAACAAAAAAAAAAAAAGTTTTACACTTTTTTTTTTAAATAAAATTTAAAAAAAAATTAAATTACTTACATTTTGATGGTGTTCGTATTGAGGAACTTTTAGTATCATCCGATTCTTGTGTTACACTTATTAATGATGGTACTCTAGAGAATGATTATTTATTTATTTCATTTTTTATTAAAATGATTTAGATGACTTTTAAATCTGTATTATACCAACGTACGTACGTCTCTGAATAAGTAACGTACGTTGGGTTATATTATAGGTTTTAAACGCAAATGTATGAATACAGTGCAGCTTTCTTTTTTTTTTTTTTTTCTGAACTTTTTGAATTAAAAATAAAATATGAAACATTAAAAGTTTTCTTCTTTTATTTTTGTTTTGTTTTGTTTTTGTTTTTGTTGTTTTTTTTTTTTTTTTTTTTTTTTTTTTTGAAGAAATGAAAATAAACAAACCGTTTTGCTCGAATTCGTTTAGCAGAGGTATCAAATGATTTTTTTTGTCCTAAAATTAAAAAAAAAGAAAGGAAAAAAAATTGATAATTTAAATTGGCAAAATAGGACGATAAAATCATTCGCTCAATTTAATTTTCAAAAATATTTCACTTTCAAAACAAAATAATTAATAGAGATTAAAAAAAAAAAATTTTGAAGCAAATCCGAATTTCAAATTTTTGAAAATTAAATATCAATCGATATTATTTGATAATAAAATAATTCTCATTCTTCTCTTATGCTATAGGCTAGCACTGATATTAAACTAAAGTTAATTTTAAATGAAATTAATCGAAATTATATTTTGGAAAATTAATTACTAAACTAATGAACTAATTATTTTCAAAGATTAATTACTAAAGAGCATATTAAATAGATATTTCAAAAGAAAAATTTTAAAAATTAAATATATATACGAAAAAAAAAAATTAAATACAAAAAGTTAGATATGAAAATTAGTATCATCCGATTTTTGTGTTACATATCATATCATATCACAGGAACACTTTCAAGTGACTATCATATCATATCACAGGAATACTTTCAAGTGACTATCATATCATATCACAGGAATACTTTCAAGTGACTATCATATCATATCACAGGAATACTTTCAAGTGACTATCATATCATATCACAGGAATACTTTCAAGTGACTATCATATCATATCACAGGAACACTTTCAAGTGACTATCATATCATATCACAGGAATACTTTCAAGTGACTATCATATCATATCACAGGAATACTTTCAAGTGACTATCATATCATATCACAGGAATACTTTCAAGTGACTATCATATCATATCACAGGAATACTTTCAAGTGACTATCATATCATATCACAGGAATACTTTCAAGTGACTATCATATCATATCACAGGAATACTTTCAAGTGACTATCATATCATATCACAGGAACACTTTCAAGTGACTATCATATCATATCACAGGAATACTTTCAAGTGACTATCATATCATATCACAGGAATACTTTCAAGTGACTATCATATCACATCACAGGAACACTTTCAAGTGACTATCATATCATATCACAGGAATACTTTCAAGTGATAATGTGTTGGCTAAATTATTTTTCTCAATTCAAATTAATCCTTATCATAATGGAAAAATATCAGTAGAAAAATTAAAAATTAGTAATTTCAAAGATTTAAAAAAAAAAAAAAAATTGTTTATACGAGATTTTGTTGATCGAGCTTGTAATGGGAATCTCTCAAAACGTGATGGCAATTGTCCAAAACGTGATTCAAGTGATTGAATTTCCTTTGACGTTTTCTTAGTTTTTACGTGTACTTTCTTATCAATATCTGAGAATGTTTCCTGTAATATTATTTAGTATAACTTTATTATATATGAAATAAAATTGATTTTATTGCAAAAATATTTTAAATTTTTATCAAATGTTTAATTAATGTTATTTTCATGTCTTTTTTTTTTTTACTTGAATTTACTTAAGTTTTTCTCGATGAATTTTTTCTCTAAAAACATTTTATTGTCTTTTTTTTTTTGTCACTTTTAATTATTTTTTGTTATCTGATTCAAAAATTTTCCCATTCTCTAGTTGAATTCTCATTTATTTTTATCTATTTGATTTTAAAATTAAAAGAGTGCAAAATTTATGATTCTTATATTTAACTTATTATATTTATCAATTTATCAAATATCAAGTGATTAATCCTTTAAAATAATAATTTATCAATTATAAAAATATTTTATCAGTAAAAATTTAGAAAATTTTTTTTTTTTTTCAATATATGCATTGTTATATTTTGATGGAAGTAATGATAATAATATTAGTAATAATAATGATAATAATAATAATAATGACAATAATGATAATAATGATAATAGTAATAATAATAATAACAATAATAATAATAATAACAATAATAATGATAATGATAATAATAACAATAATAATAATAACAATAATAATGATAATAATAAAGATAATAATAATAATAATGATAATGGCAATAATAATAATAATAAAAGAAATTTGGTGAAATTTAAAGAAATTAAAATTGAAAAGAAATGATGTGAAATACTTTTGATATTTGAGATGACATTAATGATTTTGAGGTGACATTTTCGCCGCTGCGACTTTTTGAGGAATGTTTAGGTGTAGCTGATATGATACTTGATGTTGGTGGTAATAAACCGTATTTTCGTTTTGGTGACATGGAATGGTGACATTTGTCGGAAACAATAGAAACATTTTTCCTTTCTTGTTCTAGTGATATTGAAGGTAATTTTAAATTCTTTGATTTAATTTCAGTTAATGAAGAACTGCTAATATGTGTCGGTTGTACGGTCGAAAATATTTTCCGTGATGAAATTTGCGTATCAGGAAAATTTCCGGTAGTTTTAATGAGATGTTGTTGTTTATCTTTTTTTGCGCTTCTACTACGATTCAATAATTCTTGCGATAATTCACATGCAGTTAATGCTGCTTGTTCATCAGTTTCAGGAAAACGTGAACTTTTTGCTGTTATTATTAGCTGATCCGGAATGCTACGAGCAGTTCGAATACCGGTTGATTTTTCATTATCATTTTTATCATCTATATTCCCGAAAAAATGCGATGATTTGTTGTATTTGGAAATTTGATCTTTAGATGTGAAATGAATGGATGGTACTTTTTGCGCATTTCTCGAAATATTCCTCAAAAAAAAAATTCTCGAAATTTTAACAGTAAATATATTTTAACATAATTTCGAAATTAATATAATTACTGAATTATAATTAATATCGAATAAATTACTGAATTCTAAAACAAACAAACTAAAATTTACTGAAATATATTATTCAGTTTAGCAAAAGAATAAATTTAAAATTTACATAGTAAAAAAAATTTATTCTTTTATAAAATTCTATCTAATAAAATTTTAAATTAAAATTAAAATGTGAAAAGAAAAATTCAAAAAATGGATAAATATAATAATTCAATTAATTATTTAAATATTCTTATTTAAAAGAAAAAAAAAAAAAAGAAAGAAACTTTAACATACTTCTTTTCATCCAACAAAGTATTATCTTTACTTATGCAAGTAGAACTGGAAGATGAAATTAATCCTATAAAAAATGAATGAATTAAAATTTTTTTGTAAAAATTTTTTAATTATAAATTTAGAATATATTTTTGAAACTAAAATAATTTAATAAATGTAAGAGACATTTCACTTATATCATTTTTAATTAAATAAAAACACAATTTTTCAATGTTAAATATTAATTTTTATTTATTTTTCTGCAATTATGTTAAAATGTTATAATTTATAATTTTAATATTATTTTAATATATGAAAATTTCTTTTTTTTTACAAAAAAATTTCATAAAAAAATATGAAATAAAAATTATAACAATAATGATAATAATATAACCTTTCGGCATGAAGTAAAAATTACAATGATAATAAACAATTAATAATAATAATAATATAAATAATAATATAACCTTCAGGTATAAAATTAAAATTATAATAATAGTAATAATAATAATTAATGATAATAGTTAATAGTAATAATAATTAATAACAACAATAATAACTAATAATAATATAAATAATAATATTAATATAATCTTCCGGTATAAAATGAAATTATAATAATAATAATAATAACAATTAATAATAGTAATAATATAGCCTTCCGATATAAAATAAAATTATATTAGTAATAATATATAATAATAATAACAAACAATTGATAATAATTAATAATACTTAATAACTAATAAAAATAATAATATAACCTTCCGTATGAGATAAAAATTATAATAATAGTGATAATAATATAATAATAATAATAATAATATAATAATAATAATAATAATAATAATAATAATAATAACAAACAATTGATAATATAATAATAATAATAATAATATAACCTTCCGTATGAAATAAAATTATAATAATAATAAAAAACAATTAATAATAATAATAATAATATAACCTTTCGGTATGAAATAAAAATTACAATTATTACAAAAATTACAATACTTCCGGAAAGTTATATTATTATATAATAATAATATAACTTTCCGGAAGTATTACCTACCCATTTCAGAGCTATCAGGAAGACATTTTTGTAAATGATTTCGTTTAGATGAAAATAAGGATGCAAAAGAATGAATCGGTGATGAATAAATGGGTCGAAATGAGTTAGACAAACGAGCTGTCTTCAGCGTGGTTGGATATGAAATTTGATTCATTTTTGAATTTGAATCGATTGCTTCATTTGATGATGAATGCTTTGCTTTGTTTGCAAATGAAATGGATTCTTTGAATTGTTTTGATTCATCTTGATCTGCTAATTGACCTGTTAATGAGTTATCACTTATGATAATTTCTTTTTTTCTCTTGATTTGCTTTTTAAAAAGGAGAAAGAGAAAGAGAGAGAGAGAGAGAGAGAGAGAGAGAGAAAGAAATCAAACAATTAATTTTAATATTTTATTTGATTTAAACAAAAAAAAAAAAAAAAGTCTAATAAAATTTTTAATTACAAACTAAATTTTTATCTATCATATTGAAATTATCATATCATTTAATGCTATCACAATTCCTCTATTCTTGAAATTTTGAATAATCGTAAAAATATTCGCTAAAATAAAACTTTTAAAATTTTTATCATTTTACTCATTATTTTTGCACTACTGGATAAATTAATTAATTAATTATTATAGTTAATTAATTAATTAGTTAATTATCGATCGAAACTTTAACAATTAATCAGTAATCACTTTGTTTCGGATTTTTTGTACTTTCTGTGCTAATTGATTGTCCGGTACGTAGTGAATCAGAATGAGCTTCTAAACAGTAAACGTTTTTTTTTTTCTGTAACAAAATCCGGAATAACAAAATTTCTATCCGTTATAAATTAGTGCAATGAATTTAAAACTTTTTTTTTTTTTCTTTTTTTGTTTTCAATTGGTATTCAAGAAAAAAAAAGAAGTTAAAAAGTCTAACGTAATGCATAATCAATCGTTTCCGGATTTTCCGGTTTTGAAGTGTTACGTAACGGACGTGAAGTATGTAATTCAGCATTCAGGAAAGCTTCAGTAGGTGATTTACCAACTGAAATTATTCCTTTATAGCAATTTTTTTTTTCATTTAATTATTTACTTTTAATTAATTAATTAAATAATTAATTACTTTTATCTTATTTAATATAGTATAAATTTATAAAAAGTAGATTAAAATATTGTTTATCAAAAAAATAAAAATATTTTTGAATTATATTTAGATATTTTTTTTTGTTCTTGTTGTCTCATTTTAATATGCTAAAATTATTTGAAATTTATTTTAATTAAATTATTGAATTAACAATTGTGAAAAAAAAAATAGAGAATTTAATTTTTTTTACTAAAAAAAAAAAGCCAATTAAATTTTTTAATTTATTTATTTGCATTTTTTTTTTGAAATCACATATAAATTGAAATTTAGCAATAAATAGTAAAAATAAGTAAAACCTTTTAACTTACGATGCTTTGTACTCTTTGCAATTTTCCTAGCCTTAGACCTGTTAAATTTTTAATTTAAAATTTTCAATTAATTATTTTAATTTTTGATAATTTCTAAAATCTACTATATTCATTGAATATTTTCATTTCTTCTCTTTATCAAATGAAATGAATGTCACTGTAAGAAATGAATATTTTTTAAATAATAAATTTAAATTACTTAATCTAACTTATGGAATATTTTAAATAATAATTTTAGTAGATTTAAATTACTTTAAATTACTTAACATAGCTTTTTTGGTTAATTTAAAAATTAAATTTATTTCATTTATTTTATCTGATATTAAACATTTTATTTTCAGATTAAATAAAACTTTTAGAAATAATTTTATTACTTTGAAGAAGGTTAATTAAAAGTAAAATATAAGAGATGAGATTATTTACCCAGATTAAATTATACCTACCCATTAATTGATGGTGAATGTCGAATAATCTGAAATTTGTCAAATGTTTTGACAATACCACGATCTAAAAGAAATAATATTTGTTTAATTTTTTTTTTAGCAATAATATAAAATTTTTTTTTGTAACAACGTAATTAGAACTACGATATTTGGTTATTTATTTTTATTTTTTAATTTTTACTTATTTTTATTTTTTATAACTTCTTAATTAGAACTAAGATATAATTAGGGTTGTATTTAATTAGGTTTGTTTATTTATTTATTTTCTTTTGTTAAATTCATTTTATCAAGAACGATAATCTAATGAGATCATTATTTCAATCATTTCAAATGATCAATCATTTCAAAAGATCAATTTATTACTGATCAATCATTCTAATTGATTCGATCGATTGATCTTTGAAATATTCGAGTTGCTTATTTCCCAGCAACTTTTGTTTTTTTTGAATAATAATTGTAAAGCAAAAAAAATAAAATAAAATTACCTTCATTAATTATATCAGATGAACCAATTGCTGTTTGTAAATTTTCTTCCATTTTGTGATCTTTTTTATCAACCGGTTCAACCGGATGATAAAATACCTGTTCGGCTGAACCACTACTTAATCTTGTAAAATCTGTCCTAATAGGTGGCTCTTGTAAAACAAGCATTTTTGGTTTTCCAATATTTGATGGTCTGAAAAAAAAAAAAAATTTTTTTTTACCTATAAATTATTTATAAATTACTAAAATTTAAATTCCAATTTTAAATTTGATAAGATGAGAGTGAGAGTGAAATACTGGTAAAGTTTAAAATTTGTAAAATTTTAACTTGTAAATATGAAAGATTATATTTTGTGATATAATTATTCAAATGATAAAAAGTTATAAATAAATATTGATAATAATCATTTATATTTCGTTGCTTATCAGTGTTTGTTGATAAATATTGATAACAATAACTTATATTTCATTAATTATCAGTGCTTTTTTTCTCCAAATAATTTATAAATTTTTTTATTTAAATTATTAAAGTTGTTGTTTTTTTTTTTTTTTTTTTTTTTTTTTTTGTTACATTAATGATTTTAAAAGATTTAAATTAAAAAAAAAAAAGACTAACACAGATTCAGTAATACTACTTGGAGTAGAAATAGTCTTATCAGTGACATAATTTCGTTCTTCGTTTAATGAAAAATTATAAAACTGTAAAGTATATTAATTAATTAATTAATTAATTTACAATAATAATTTTTCTATTGTTTACATTTTAAAGAAGAATTGTTAGTCAATTTTTAATAATTCTAATCAATGAAAAATTTAAAATAATTCTATGAAATGATTTTAATCTTGTTGTTTTGTTGTAATATGATAATGATTAATTATCAATATGAAATTATCAATTACAGTTTTCATAAAGTTTTCATAAAATGAAATTAAAAAAGAAGCACTAAAATATTATATTTCTTATCAATGATAATTTTATTATGTCTTAAATTTTATCATTTATTAAGCTTAAGATCATGATAAAATGTAGCTTAATAATGATGATAAAATATAATTAGCAATGATTCTTATCTTTTGATTTGTAATATGATAATGATTAATTATCAATATGAAATTATCAATTACAAATTAAATATTTTTCATAAAATGAAACAAAGAAAGGCTAAAATATCATTTTTTATTTTATCAATGATAATTTTATTATGTCTTAAATTTTATCATTTATTATGCTTAATAATCATGACAAAATATATTTTAGTTTAATAAATAATAGTGTTTAATAGTGATAAAAATATGATTAGCAATGATGATAACAATGTTTGATAATTGATAAGATAATTTCATATAATTTGTACCTGTTTTTTAAACGAAGGTTTAATTTCAATTAGACGTTTGATAAGCATCACATTATAGCCTATAAGAATATCTTCCTGATATTTGATTGGTATTTGATCTTTCTTATTTTTTGGTAACACTGATACCTTTCGAAGAAATGGTACAACCGCCTGTTAAAAAAAGTAAAAATTTTAATCAAAATTATTAATAAATAAAGTAAAACATAGATGTATACAAAGGTAAATGAATTTTAATAATTAAATTTTAATTAAACTTAAATTATATCTAAGTTAGTGATAAATTGATAAATCAAACTAATCGACAAATACCTTGAGTATAAGTAAATCATCACTGATAATGTTTAGGGTAATAAATAAAGTAAAATATAAGTGTATAATGGAAAGTACAAAGGTAAATTAAATTTTAATTTAAACTTAAATTATATATAAGTCAGTGATAAATTGATAAATTTCAATTTAAACTTAAACTATATCTAAGTTAGTGATAAATTGATAAATCAAACTAATCGGCAAATAAGCATAATATAAATTTTCATATGTGTCTTGGATATAAGTAAATCATCACTGATAATGTTTAGGGTAATAAATAAAGTAAAATATAAGTGTATAATGGAAAGTACAAAGGTAAATTAAATTTTAATTTAAACTTAAATTATATATAAGTCAGTGATAAATTGATAAATTTCAATTTAAACTTAAATTATATCTAAGTTAGTGATAAATTGATAAATCAAATTAATCGACAAATACCTTGAGTATAAGTAAATCAATACTGATAATGCAAAATAAACAAATAAAAAAAAAAAAAAAAAACTCTTCACAATTAAATAGTTCATTTAAAATGGTAGTAAAATTTAATAAAATATTCAAAATTTTAAAATGTAGTAATTTTAGTTATACATTCTTTTATATTTCAATAATAAACTTTTAACATCTAATTTTATTTCAAATTTATTATTATGACGACAAAAATTAACTAATTATTAATACGAAATGTCCAATTCAAAAAAAAAAATTTATACAAATGAAATATTTTAATTTAAATTAAATTCATTTTTAGCTGAATAATTTTCTCGCCTTTTTTTTTTCTCTTGCATAAAATTTTAAAATAATTTAAAAATAGTAATAATTAATAAAAAAAAAAAAACGAACAATTTCAGGTTTTGCAGTACTTCTATCAGCACGAAGTTCAATTTCTTCGTATATTTTATAACTACCGCTACTATCATAAATTGTATTTTGAAATGCTGTAATTACCAATGAACCAATTAAATTAAAAATTGGTATTTTAAAAATGGTAGCTTCCGATTTTGATTTACGAATTGGTTTAATTTCATCTGAAAAAAAAAACATTTCATATTAAAATTTACATCAAATATACAGTTTATATGGAAAAATTGAATTTTTTTATTAAATTGATAATTATTTTAAGATTATCTAGTATAGTAATTAAATTATAAACATGAAATTAAAAATAAAATATTACAAAATTAACTGTTAAACTAATTCTTCTATTTAATTAGTATCGCTTTTTTTTTTTTTTTTTTTTTTTTACAATAACTAATTGATAAAGATAAGTGATAAGATAAGAAATTGAAAAAAAGAAACTTTTTTTTTATCAAATTGATAAATATATTAAGATTATCTAGTATAGTAATTAAATTATAAACATGAAATTAAAAATAAAATATTACAAAATTAACTGTTAAACTAATTCTTCTATTTAATTAGTATCGCTTTTTTTTTTTTTTTTTTTTTTTTACAATAACTAATTGATAAAGATAAGTGATAAGATAAGAAATTGAAAAAAAGAAACTTTTTTTTTTATCAAATTGATAAATATATTAAGATTATCTAGTGCAGTAATTAAATTATAAATATTAAATCAAAATTAAAATATTACAAAATTAGCTGTTAAACTAATTCTTCCATTTAATTAGTAATTAAACCAAAAGAAATGAAAATTGCATTTTTCATTTCTTTTTTTTACAATAACTAATTGATAAAGATAAGTGATAAGATAAGAAATTGAAAAAAAGAAACTTTTTTTTTATCAAATTGATAAATATATTAAGATTATCTAGTATAGTAATAAATTATAAACATTAAATTAAAAATAAAATATTACAAAATTAACTGTTAAACTAATTCTTCTATTTAATTAGTATTTTTTTTTTTTTTTTTTTTTTTTACAATAACTAATTGATAAAGATAAGTGATAAGATAAGAAATTGAAAAAAGAAACTTTTTTTTTATCAAATTGATAATTATTTTAAGATTATCTAGTGCAGTAATTAAATTATAAATATTAAATCAAATTAAAATATTACAAAATTAACTGTTAAACTAATTCTTCTACTTAATTAGTATCTTTTTTTTTTTTTTTTTTTTTTTTTTTACAATAACTAATTGATAAAGATAAGTGATAAGATAAGAAATTGAAAAAAGAAACTTTTTTTTTATCAAATTGATAATTATTTTAAGATTATCTAGTGCAGTAATTAAATTATAAATATTAAATCAAAATTAAAATATTACAAAATTAGCTGTTAAACTAATTCTTCCATTTAATTAGTAATTAAACCAAAAGAAATGAAAATTGCATTTTTCATTTCTTTTTTTTTACTAATTGATAAAGATAAGTGATAAGATAAGAAATTGAAAAAAAAAAAAAAAGGAAAAAAGCAAACCATTTTCGTCGATCATTTCAGCACCACCAAATTTCACTAATTCTTTGGTATTTGCAACCGATTGTAATTTGATTTTAGATCGATCAATTTCCATTTTTCGATCAATTCTTACATAATCATTACCAACACGAACAGCTTGTACCGTTATTGGAATATTTTTTGTAGTCTGATAAAAATTTTTGCAAAAAAAAAAATTTATTAAATTTAAATTTAAAAATTTAAAAAATTAAATTAAAAAATAAGCAATAAATTGTTTACAATTTTTTTTTGTGATTTATTTCGTTTATTTTTTATTTTTAAAAAGAGCAATAAAATATTTGCAAATATTAATTTATTAATTTAAATTATATTATAATAATTAAACAATTTCCAAATCATATAATCATAGAAGAATATCAGAAAAAGAAATGGTTTTTTTTTTTTTTTTTTTATAAATTGCTGATAATTTATAATTATTATAGAAATTAGTTATAATTGTAAATAATTTAATTTAATTACATAAAATTTTAGTATTATATTTAGTATTTAATTAACAGATATTTGAGGAAATATTACCGTTGGAAGAGATTTTAGAATTTTAGGTTTTATATTAATTAATAATTTCCAAATCATACAATCATAGAAGGATATCAGAAAAAAAAAAGCTTAAATTTTGTAGAAATTAATTATAAATACAAATAAGTTAATTTAATTACGCATAATTTTAGTATTATATTTAGTATTTAATTAACAAATATTTGAGCAAATATTACCATTGGAAGAGATTTTAGAATTTTAGGTTTTATATTAATTAATAATTTCCAAATCATACAATCATAGAAGGATATCAGAAAAAAAAAAAGCTTAAATTTTGTAGAAATTAATTATAAATACAAATAATTTAATTTAATTACGCATAATTTTAGTATTATATTTAGTATTTAATTAACAAATATTTGAGCAAATATTACCGTTGGAAGAGATTTTAGAATTTTAGGTTTTATATTAATTAATTCTTTGCTTGGATATTTTACACCTGAACCATATAATTCTAATATTTCATCAATAAATAATTTATCCATTAATCGTCCATCAATTTTTTGTATTGTTTGCACTCTTACTGGACCTAAAATTTATTACAAATTAATTTTGATTTTTAATTTTAAAAATATTTAATTAAATTTGAAAATGTTTGAAAGTAAATTTTTGGAAAATGAAAAATTTGAAAAGGTAAAAAAAAAAAAAAAAAAGAGAGAGAAAGAAACAATCAGAAATTATCGTTTCAAATTTTTATAAGCAATTGCTAGAAATAAAATTAATGAATTATTTTATGAAAAACTTTTGAAAACAAAAAACAAACAAAATGAATAAAAAAAAAAAAAATGTTAGCTAAAATTAATTTTATTAAAATTAAAATAATAAATTACCAATGATAAATACATGTGGTGCAGCAATAGATGATGAACTTGTTTGTGGTTCAATATTTTGTGCATTCTATAAAATAATTTTTTATCTTATCATTTTTATCAATTATTATATTTATCATAATTGTTTTGTTATCATATAATCAACCAACAAAAGTTAAACTTTTTTGATTTATTAATTTGAATAAATAAAAGTTAAACTTTTTTAATTTATCAAATTTGAGTAAATAAAATTTATGTCATCATTGTTATCAATTATTATATTTATCATAATTGTTTTGTTATCATATAATCAACCAATAAAAGTTAAACTTTTTGATTTGTTAAAATTGAATAAATAAAAGTTTAATTTATGTTATCATTTTTATCAATCATTATATTTATCATAATTCTTTTGTTATCATATAATCAACCAATAAAAGTTAAACTTTTTTGATTTATTAAATTTGAATAAATAAAATTTATGTTATCGTTTTTATCAATTATTATATTTATCATAATTGTTTTGTTAACATATAATCAACTAATAAAAGTTAAACTTTTTGATTTGTTAAAATTGAATAAATAAAAGTTTAATTTATGTTATCATTTTATCAATCATTATATTTATCATAATTATTTTTGTTTTTATCATATAATCATTTTGAACCGATAAAAGTTGAACTTTTAGATTTATTAAAATTTGAATAAATAAAAAAAAAATAATAATTATGTTATCATTTTTATCAATTATTGTATTTATCATAACTGTTTTGTTATCACATAATCAACTAACAAAAGTTAAACTTTTAAATTTATTAAATTCCATCATATAACTGATAATTATTATCTGATTAATTAATTATTGCTAATTAAGAATAATTTAAATGAATTATACATACTTTTAGGCCTTGCATTGAATGCCGCATAAATTGTTGATTTGTTTGTAACAATGAATCAAAAAATATTTGAAAATTTTTTTTTTTTTTTTAAAAAATATTATATGAATGAAAATAGATGATAAAAAATTTTTAGGTACAAATGATATCACTGATAATGATAATATTAATATCGTAAAAATTGAAAGTAATTTCAATTCAAAAAAAATTTTTTTTTTCTTTTTTAAGAAAAAAATAATTTAGATAATTCTTTAAAAAGTAAAAAAATAAAACAAAAAACAAAGACAATTAAAATATTGAAATGAAAAATTTAAATTGTTGAAAATTTTTTTTTTCTTCTTTTTGAAATAATTCTTACCAGCACTAAAACAACGAATGATAGAGGCCGTTTTTGTTTGAACTTTTTGCGCATTTGGCGTAATTGACTCAACACTTACTCTGAACGATGAAATGAAATGAAATGAGCATTTGAAAAAATAGACATTTTACTAACTTCTTTTTCTCAAAAAAATTTTTCACAAATTATATTTTAAAATTTAACAAATGAAATTTGCAATTAGAATTTTTAGCTAAAAAAAATTACAGAGAGAATTTTAGAAATGTTAGCAAAAATTCTTAAAATTATAAAAATGCTTAATTATTTAGCATCAAATGATTACAAAATGTTAATCTTTCTGATATGAATGATTTATTTGAATTTATTAATTTAAATCATTTAGAAAAATTATTAATAATATAGCTAATTTAATTTATCAATTTTAATCATTTAGGAAAATTATTGATAATATAGCCGATTTAATTTATCAATTTAAAATATTTAAAAAACTATTGATAATATAGCTAATTTAATTTATCAATTTTAATCATTTAGAAAAATTATTGATAATATAGCCGATTTAATTTATCAATTTAAAATATTTAAAAAACTATTGATAATATAGCTAATTTAATTTATCAATTTTAATCATTTAGAAAAACTATTGATAATATAGCTAATTTAATTTAAAACATTTAAAAAGTTATTAATAATATAGCTAATTTAATTTATCAATTTTAATCATTTAGAAAAATTATTGATAATATAGCCGATTTAATTTATCAATTTAAAATATTTAAAAAACTATTGATAATATAGCTAATTTAATTTATCAATTTTAATCATTTAAAAAATTATTGATAATATAGCCGATTTAATTTATCAATTTAAAATATTTAAAAAACTATTGATAATATAGCTAATTTAATTTATCAATTCTAATCACTTAGAAAAGTTATTAATAATATAGCTAATTTAATTTAAAACATTTAAAAAGTTATTAATAATATAGCTAATTTAATTTATCAATTTTAATCATTTAGAAAAATTATTGATAATATAGCCGATTTAATTTATCAATTTAAAATATTTAAAAAACTATTGATAATATAGCTAATTTAATTTATCAATTTTAATCATTTAGAAAAATTATTGATAATATAGCCGATTTAATTAATCAATTTAAAATATTTAAAAAATTACTGATAATATAGTTAATTTGTAACCATTTAAAAATATAATTTGTTTATTTCTTTTTGCATAAATTTGACAATAATAATTTATAATTTCTTTGTTTTTTTCTTAGATAAATTTCAGCTTATCATTTAAAATAGCAATAATATCATTTATATTTTGTAATAAATCATTTTCAAACAAAAAAAAAAATAATAATAAAAATTTAAATTCTTTTTTTTTTTAAAATGATTTAAAATACCTTCGAGTAGTATCATTTGGATATTTAAAAATTGTTAAATTACGTGGATTATTTATTAATAATCGTAACATTCCTTCTATATTATCCATTGAGTCACCAACCTAAAATAATTTTTTTTTTTTTTTTTTTTTTGACATTTTTAATTTTGATTATTTTAATTTAATTTAATTTAAAATTTTAACATTTTAAATTAATTAATTTTTTTTTTTTTTTTTTAAAAAGCAAAGAAAATAACTTTTGATTTAAATACGCTAAAAGGATAAAATTGTTTTTTAATCCTTTTATTAGGATTATCCGTAAGCAAATTTTTTTATTATTGATAAAAGATTATTTATAACTATTTCAGATTAAAAAAAAAAAAAAATAAATTAAATTAAATAATCATTCATTATAGAAATATGTAAATTTTAATTTATTCATTTTTTTTTTTTATTTCATTTTCATTCTAAAATTTCACTAAATTTTATAAAATAATTATGCAAATTTCAATTTTATAGAATAGACAAATAAATTGTTGGTAATAATTAACAATTTCTTCCTCCATTTATCATTTATGATTAAGATAAAAGTGATAAGATATAAGAGTAATGATAAGAACTACTTTTTTTTTTTGAATAAATTATAAATTTCATAGGATAATTTTAAAAAAAAAAAATTCATACTATAAAGGTAAAAAAAAAAAAGGAAAAGAAAAAAGAATAAGTAATTTTATATCTTTTACAAATTGCTATCAACAAATATACTAAAATTATTTGAGTTTTTTTTTTTCTTTTTTTAAAAAAAATTATATAAACAAAAAAATTATGCTTTTTTTTTTTATTTCATTTAATATTTTTGAAATAATGCTTTGAAATTATTGAAAAAATTATTTTTTTAAATATTTTTTTTCAAAAATTTAAAAGAAATAAAATGATGGAATATTTTGCTCTATCATCAAATAAATGATAACAAGGAGAATATAGTAACGAAATGAATGATAACAATAATGATAGTGATAACGGTGATAAATGATAATGATAGTGATAATGATAATAATCTTACAAGATAATCAGATGCAGTAAATGTATCGATTGCGGTAACAATTTGTGAAGAACATTGACTGAGATCACCATTTTTCTTCGAATATCTCTTCGCGCTCATATATTTTTAAAATTTCTTGAAAAAAATTTTTTTTTTTTTTTTACTTTATTAAATCTAATTACTACAAAAAAAAAAAAAAAAAAAAATTAAGTATAACAAATTGAGATATTATTTTAGCTTAAATTCTAAATGAAAAAACAAAATTGTAATTTTAAATTGTAATTGTAATTTTGTAATTTTAAATTCTTTTTTTTTCTTACTTTCTATAAATGATAGTAATTTAAAAAAAAAAAATAACAATTGTAATTTTAAATCCTTTTCTATTCTTTTTTTTTTCCCCTTACTTTCTATAAATGATAGTTGATTTAATTTGTAATTGAGCATATTTATGCTTTAATTTAAATTAATCATTGATAAACTTTGTGTGATTTGTTTAAATTAAAATGTTTAGGTGTTTTTTTTTTTTTCTTTATCCTAAAATATTTGAAAGTGATAAAATGTTTTTTTTTTTTCTTGTTTTTTTTTAACTACTTCAACTATATCATATTTGTTTACAATATTTGACTTATTTATTTATTAAACTTCAAATAATGCTTATTAAGCTTAACTTAATGCATCTCTCTTTTTCTTTCTTTCTTTCCATTTCTTTTTAATTCATATGCTATTTTCATGCAAATAGTTAGTTAAAATAAAATTAACTATTACTCATTAAAGCATTTTCAGTAATTTTTGTTTTCATTTTTATATTATTTAATAGCTTGAGAGAAAACAAAAAAAAAAAACACTGACAAACGACCGTTTCAGTGAAAAAAAAAAAAAACAAACAGTAATGCACACAAACAATAATAGACAATGAGTGCTACAATCAAGCCATTGCTTTAACATTTATCGAAATCAAATACAACAAATGCACATACATTAATGAACAGAAATAAATTTTTTTTTTTTTCTCTTTTTTGATCATTCAAATTAAGCAAATTATCTGATCTCTCTCTCTCTCTCTCTCACTCAGTAAAAAAAAAAATTAAGCATAAAACCTATCATATTTGTGTATTATATCATATCATAATATGGATCATGTTCCTGCTATGTGTCGAGATTTTTGTTATTGTCATTTAAATTAACAACAAAACATTTACATCTAAGAAATATTTCATATCAACTTAAATCCATTTCTCATCTAAAAATATTTCATATCAAATTAAAATCCATTTCTCCTTCTCCTTTTTCTTTTTCATTCGTAATGAATTACTTATTGATATTAGATTGAAGTGATCATGGGTTAAATTTGACATACCATTAAACGATTACTTTAAAAGAGGATGGTGAATGAGATGATCGTAGGGGTCAAATTAATCCAAGTATTTGATAAATGTCATAGAGAATGAAATGGGAGATTTTCCCGCTTAACCTCTCTACATACACCACACACATACACACATACAACAGCAACAGTAGCTCAATGATGATGATGATGACGATTCTATTGATCAAATACACAAATTTTTTGCATTTATAGAATTTTATAGCTGTTACTAATATATAACCAGCTTATAATTAGGTGCTTAATTTTAAAATGAGATAGTATTCATTCATTAAGAAATTTCAAGAGAACACTTTTTTTACTGGACATTTCTTCACAGAGTGTTAAAACGTATCCACTGATACAAACATAAAAAAAAAAAAAAAAAAAGGAATTAAAACTTTTCGTTAAATTGTGATAGTAACAGCACAAAAAAAAAAAAAAAAACCGGCATACAGACTTGCAATGCGCACACATTCACACATCATACGCATTATTATCTTCTACAATAAGCGTGCTACAATTATTATTTGTGTTGATTGCGGATATTTTGTTGCAGTTTTTTTTTTTTGCCTATCAATTCTTCTAATTTTCTTTTATTTAATTGAAGCATATCGTACAGAGTTAAAAGTGATCAAATCCTAACTGGACACAGGAAAAATCTATAAAAGAAAAGATGGATGGGATAAAGGAAGGGAAGGAGAAAAATATATCTGGGATAAAATAAACGTCCGTACGCACACATCCAACACACACTGCGCGAGACACAACAAAACAAATCAAATTATGCACACAAGTTTTGCGCGATTCGCCTGAGATCACAAAAAAAAAAAAAAAAAAAAAAAAAAGGATGAAAGTGCCATATAGAAACTGGACCAAAATTGATCAAAAAAAATATTGGTACGGTTAATTACATGACTTTCCACAATTATAACGTCAACATGGAAAGATGAACAAATTACACCGAAACTGCTTAGATGATGATGACAAGTTTCGTTGTTATTGTTATCGCCACTGTTGATGCTTCATAGAGCCTATTGCTTGTTTTTGTATGCAGCTATCTCCCTTTCGTACCTTTTCTTGTCTTCTTCCGCTCGTTTCTCCCATTGCTGAAATGCATGTCTTTTTTTTTTTTTTTTTCTTGTAAATGACATTAGTTTCTCCATCTGATTAAGAAATACTAATATTCAAAACTAGATAATAGAAACCATCTTTCACTCAGTACTCATAATATAAACGAGTTGAATAGTTTAAAAAAAAAAAAAAAATAAAGCGTGTAAAACTTTATTATCCAGAACCCATCAAAGCATGAATTCGTTGGCACATTTTTGACAACAGTTGAAATGCTGACAAAAAATGAAGGCAAAAATCATTCTCTTGATGATTTGGATACTAATACAAATTGAATTAACATTCGCATCAAACTACAGCAAAATCAAGGTATGCATCAAAACCAGAGAATGAAACGCATTTATCCCAGACTCATCCAAACCAAAGTATTTGCTAGATAACAAAAGAAATTTTTAACACCACAAATGCACCACATCTTTCCCGAATTAAATCTTCTTTTTACTTACTAAATATCCTTGATTCAAATGTCATTCCATAAGTTTCCGAACAACATTTCTTCACATTTTCCTATCTCTTTTTGTTACCAAAAATGAAAAAACTAACTGATTTATCTGTCATCGCTGCCCATTCGATACCCGCAGCTTTGGCAACATCACCAACACTCATACCAGGCTTCTTGATTCGATCACGATTCTCGTTCATCCAAATAAAGAAAGCTGACATTGCACGTTTTGGAGCATTTGGATCTTTCATCTTTTTGACTGCTTTTGGTTTCTTCCCATCAACAGTTGCTTTGCCCATATTTTCTTCTGCTACTTCAAACTATTACAGTTGTAATCAATATAACGATACACCAGTTAAAACTGCAACAAATAATATTTACATTAATAATGCGAATGATAACAATGAACGAAAACATCGTCAACGAGAACACAGATTGTCAGGCATTGATCCATAACAACGAAGATAACGACAGATCAACTAATTTCTTCGAATCACAATTATATTGTCGCATACTCAAAAAGTTCACATCTCTCCTCCCCAACCTTTCTATAAATTGTTCAATGTGATGATGATTGAGCACAATGAGATATCATAACACATACATGGCCAAGTTATAACATATACGAACAATATATAAAAAACAATCGATGTATGCAGGAGGGGGGGTACAACACATACGAGATTGTGACGTTTTTCTCTTTTATTGCTCATGCAAGTACGTATTACACTCTCGGAAAACAAACAAAGCTAACCAAACGAAAAACGTTTGAAAGACATGGTACAGAATGATGCGTAACTGAAATACATTTCAGCACCTGACTGCATATTATAACATAGTTCTCAAATTCGATCGTTAAAACGGTAAAGTTTAGTTCATGCATTTGTGAGATTTTCATTTTCAATGTCAACCATTTCTTTAATTCATCTTTCCCTCGATTTATCGCAACTGAATTAGTCACGACCTGACCCAAAAATCACTCTTAACTAAAATAACAATGATAACATGTAAAATTATTCAGAAAAAAGAAAAAAGCATATGAAAACTGAATAGAGAAAAATAAAAAGGACTAAAACAATGAAGCTAGAAATGAAATAGTATAGTAATAGAAGTAATAACAGCCATATTTGTAACAGTATTAGTAGTAATATGAATACTGATAAACTGCCTAGAATTAAACTAGAATAAATTAAAATGAAATGAAATAGAATCGAAATGAATTGAATTGAATGGAACGGAATGGCATGGCATGGCATGGCATAACTCGCCATCACCACAATGCCATCATCCAATCGCACATAGCACACAGCTCATCTACTCGTCCATTCCCTCAGCCCTCTCTCGAGTCACTCCATCCTCGTCCCCTGCCCTACCCTACCCTACCCTGCCCTTCCCTTACGCTCCAAGACTACCCGACAATCCCAACAGCAGTAGCAACAGCAGTAGTAACGGTTGGGCGGGCAGGCGGGCGGGTAGCAGTAGCAGTAGCAACAGCAACAGCGTCACTAACACATATCTTTCTTCAAAAAGGAAGGCAAAAATCGTTCGTACCTTCTTCTCCTTTGCCCGCTTCCAGTATCGCTTACCCGCCCGCTCTGCCTTCTTCTCCCGCTTCTGCTCATTTCTCAGTAATCATCTGTCTCTCTGTCCGTCCGTCTCTTTCACAAAGGGTACTTCACCAATAGGTACTAACTACTGACAGCACAGCACAGCACAGCACACTACACTATTGCTCCTTCACTTATTACCCTCTGTTGCCACACAGACACATACACACACATACACATACACATATATGCCGAAGGTAGATTTACATCAGTCCAAGAGATAAACTGGTGTACAGACAGACGGACAGACCGGACGTACACACCCATACACACTACATAAATTATGAGTCCATAGTGAATTTCACTAGCTTTGAGAGTTGACAGACGGACAAATCGACACACACACGTTTCATTGTACTCCGTCGCAGATCCATATTTCCAGTGATTTCAAAGGAATTGTAGACAGACGGATACACACACACACACATACACATACATGTATAATCACTGACAATATATACACTCCACATACACAGCATACATATATGTATATATAAGCACATATACGTAGATGCACGTGACCTTATATGATCACAGACACCCAAATACACATTCAACTGCAAAACATCTGCAAAAACAACACACACACATACACACTTTACATACACAGACACTTTATATAGATGCACACACACACACTTTACATGCACACATACACAGACACTTTATATAGATACACACACATTTTACATACACCGACACTTTATATAGATATACACACACTTTACATGCACACATACATAGACACTTTATATAGATACACTTTACATGCACACATACACAGACATTTTATGTAGATACACACACACTTTACATGCACACATACACAGACACTCTACATAAACACTCAGCAATGTGCCACATCCAAGGACACGGGAGAGGGACACGTGAAGAAGTAACGAAGAGCGAAAGAATGGGACAATAAAGGAGAGAAAGAGGGAGGGAGGGAGTTGGGCGGGAGAGGTTGAAGGGTTTTGGCGCCAAACAGCTGATTTATGGTAATGAGGGACCATCCAAAGAGAATATTCTGGAATGATTGTATTGATGTCATATGAGAGTGAAATAGGACGGTCCCTCGCCCCGCTTGTCATCATAAATCATGGGGACATAAATGGTGACAAGTAAAGAGAGAGAGAGAGAGAAAGAGAGAGGGAGGGAGAGAGAGTTTTTTGTGAAATCCATGAATGATGAAGCTTATGTGGATAATAATAAATATGTAAAATTCATTAAAAGTTCACTTTAGTAATATTTTAAAATTCATATACAATAATTTCGACAACAATTACATGAAATTCACTGAAAGTTTCACTTTAGTAATATTTTACAATTCATATATAATAATTTCTACAACAGTTATATGAAATTCACTGAAAGTTTCACTTTAGTAATATTTCAAAATTCAGTATATATAATAATTTCTATACGAATTACATGAAATTCATTGAAGGTTTCACTTCATCAATATTTTAAAATTCATATAAAATAATTTCAACATCAATTTACATACGCAAATGCACGAATGAAAAAGATAACATTGCGCTAAAATTGTTACTACTGTTTTTCTTTTTCTTTTTTCATAATAAATACTATTCTAATTATATGCTCATTTATATCAGTTAATTTCAAAATGATTATCTTATGCGCATTTGATAAGCTAATGCTAGTAATAATGCGCACAATGCGCAATATGTACGTACACAATAGCAAATAAAACTCGAAAAGAATGACAGGAAACGAGAAACGAAATAGGAATGCACCGTGATTTTTCATGCTTTTATTTGATATAATTTTATTGGTTTGTGTAAATTGATGGTGCGCAAATATTGAGCGCAAATGTTATCAGAATGATATATTGTACTGATATTGTTATTTTACATCTATATCACTTTCCATTTAAGAAATTACGATTTTTTTCGGATCTATGGTTAACTTATATTTATAGGCATTTGCTTTATTTGGCCTAGCCGTGTAATCTCATTTATAAATTTTAACATGCTACAATCAAATCTGCTAAAATATTACTTATTATTAAAGAGATTGAATAGTAGACTTATATTAAATTGCAAAATCAAGTGATGTCCTAATTATGCAAGGATGAAATGACAATCATATTTAATTTCAACTGTTACTAAATTCATAATTTATTGAGTACATGTTTTATTTTCATTTTTTTTTCTTTTTCTTTTGAGTACATTTTGTCTAGAAATATACGAAAAGTATTGTTATTGTTATTTGTGTTAAATTTCTCTATCTTTCATTTTTTTTTTTCCTTTTCAGCAGTATAAGTGAAAACGGATTTGCAAAAGACAGTATATGCAAATAATCGGTTCGGTAACGAGCAATGCAATGAAAGCTTTCAACCGAGCAGAGAGATTATTGTTGAAGAAGAGATGGATGATGAAGACGAGTCAATAATTGGTAAAATTTATATGAAGTATAAGCGACAATCTTGGTTGCGAACGATACTTTTCACCGCTCTTATTATTGTTACACCTCTCGGCTATTTTATTGCTGAGAAATCTTTCAATTACGCTGCGAATTATGGTTTGTTATTGGGCTCTAATTTGTTTTTAAAAATCACTCTTTCTTTTGAAGTTATCCGTTTAAAAATTATAGAGTTGCTTCATTGATTTGAGGCTATAAAGTATCTTGCTATCTCCGATTACACTTAAGGGGATTGTTAAAACTGTATAATGGTTTTGAGTTATTGATAATTTCTGAAGTTGTCGGTTTAAAAGTTCTGCTTAATAGAAAACGATATTCTCCATTTATTCAGTCAGCTATTAATATGTTTGGAACAGTTTTTCTGTTAATTTCATTCCCAAATGGAGACATCCATTTTTTAGGTTACTACTCTTCAGCAAGTATCAGTTTTCCACGATACAGCCTAGACCAGATGCGTGAATTTGCATTCAAAAACAGCATCGCCACCGATTATAAACCATCATTTTATACTCGTTGGAATCTTTCGTTCAACAAAATTTTAGATGATCCCGATAACGGGTATTTCCATTTTTGGTTTCTTCATCTTCATAAACGTCAAAACAATGAAAATCCAATTACTAAGACTGTAAAGACTTTCTGACTAGCACTGTGCTACTTTCCATTACAATCGAATCTTTACAGATATACTCAGTGTTTATTGTTTATTATTATTTTTTTTATTAATTGGGTATTAACTGTGCTTCCATAGTACTGGTGTTTTTTCAGATTTAATATGAGCGATAACGATGTAATTGTATTCTTGCACATTCAAAAAACAGCAGGCACAAGTTTTGAGCGCTTTCTTGTTAAACATCTCAATGTTTCAACACCGTGCATTTGTCGTATGGGAAAGAAGAGATGCACTTGTATAGGCCCTGGTCCCAAGAAAAAGGTGTATCTTTTGTGATGCTTTTGCATAAAAATCTTTACATTACTGATGAGAATCATCTATTCAGTGTTGTTGATGTTTCATGATTTCTTCGATTTACATACATTTCATAATTTAAAATACTTTCAAGATATGGTTATTTTCTCGTTATTCAACTGGTTGGGTTTGTGGATTGCATGCCGATTTCACTGAATTGTTCGTCTCTGGTTGTGTGGATAATGCATTGGATAAAAAAGAAGGTATATCGAAATGTAACTGCATTGAAATTTTTTTTTAATATATTTTTTCTTGTCTTCTTATAAACAGTAATTATTTTGCAGGTTTTCATCGAAAGAGGCGATATTTTTATACCTCATTTTTTCGAGAACCAGTAGCACGATTTATATCCGAATATCGTCATGTGGAACGAGGCGCTACATGGTTAGCAGCAAGGCACATATGTAATGGTCGACCACCAACACCCGAGCAATTACCAATGTGTTTTGATCCAGAGATTGGATGGGATGGTGTAACATTGGATGAATTTCTTGCCTGTCCATATAATCTTGCTTTTAATAGGTTTGATATTTTTCTGCATAAACGTTAATACTAGTTGAAATAATAACGAAATAATGGATAACGTTTCATTTGGTAATAAATTTATTGTTACACATAATCATAGAAGAAATAACTTCCTTTCTTCATTTTCCAAAACTATTTGAAATTCTGGCATACTCTAGAGTCTGGTAGATACAAGTAAAACAGATCAAACAGCTCCTAACTGTCATATCAGTTAGGATCTGTTTTACTTCTTGATCCATAGATTCTTGCATTTATAAACTTTTGGTGTTAACGGACGCGGAGGATTATAATTATTAGTATTTAATTGACATGCAAGCATTCAGTTAGCATGAAAGATTAAAAATCAAAATGAGGTGATGGGACAATGTTGTTTGCAATATAGTGTCTCTTACAGATAGGAAATAGACTGAATAGCAAACAGTGGATTGGGATATTTATAGCATGCATTTGCGAATGACATATTTATGTTTAATTTGTTACAGGCAAACTCGAATGCTAGCTGATCTAACATTAATCAATTGTTACGACACGCGATCAACGGATGCAGCAACCAGAGATAAGATTATGTTGGAAAGTGCAAAAGTCAATCTAAAAAATTTGGCATTTTTTGGTCTCAAAGAATATATGGCTGAAAGTCAATGGATGTTTGAACGTCTTTTCCACTTAAAGTATGTTTCGAACAAAAATTAGTACGTATACATATATGAAATTTTGCGGAGGCTGGAAAACCGTGAAGATCTATATCTATAAACATTTGTTTATCTTCGCTATACCGTACGTTCTTTTGGATTGGAAAGGCAAAAATTGTTACTTGAACAACGTAATAGTGAAATTTGCTAGTCATATTACCTTGACATCAGTCTTCATCGAAGGATGAAAGCATTGTTGTCTTGATTTTGTTGTAATTATTATTGTCCATTTAGATTTTCAAAGAATCTTGCTGAGTGGACCAAAAGCAAATCAAACGATACTGAAATAACTCTACAACAAATGCAGTTAATTAAGGATAGGAATAGATTGGATATCATGTTGTATTCATACGCCAAAAAACTTTTTTTTAAGAGGTTTGTGTAATTGAATGCGTATCGTATTCGTATTTTTATTATGAATTTTCTTGTCTTTTTCATATGAAGCATTACCTGAATTTTAGGTTAAAGCAGTTGCAGTCAAGCATTGATGATTATTCAGTGTTCCCACACAGAATGGTCAATGGTAGTCGTGCTGGTGATTTGAAAATAGGTGTGTGGTAAAGATTTTTCTATAAATCGTTGAAATGATGCGTACTTATGGAAAGTGAAGGTCTGAAAACTTAACTTATTTACTCAATTTGTTATATTGAATTTCTCAAAATCTATTGTTGGTTTGAGTGATTGACATTGTAAATGCATGAGACAGCGATATTTGTTCATTTTATTGTTATAGTCAGTGTGTCGTGCAGCTGTGCGTTAGTGATTTCAGTATTCGTTTTCCTTAATAATCGTTAGGTCTAAACTGTTTATTATCATTTATGTTTTAAAGTGTATGATTTGTCAATCTCTTTTACAATTGTGAAATTTTATTTACTTTTCACTCTATTCAAGATTCTTTTCATTTAGTTAATCGAAGCGAAGGACAATGAAGCGTTTGAAAGAAATATAACATCTTCCTCATCATCGAAACACGATTTTGTAGAAGTTATGCAGTTGATTTTGTTTTATATAATAGGAAATTAATAGGAACCTTAAATCATATCATTGTTAATCCAGGTATTTTCACAATTTGATTTAATAATTAACTTGATTTATTTTTTTGTTGTTTTAGTGTTTTATTGTTTGAAAGCTCGTTGTCTTTCCTGATACATTTGTCAGACAGGGTTGCTCATCCTTTAGTTTCTCTGATGCATTTACCGAACAGATTAATTCTATGGTTTTTTATTAGATGTCCGCTATATCATTTGCTAACAGTGAAGAAGTAGTAGTAGTAGTAGTAGTATGTCTTTTTATTACTTTTGCTTATCGTAAAATTGGATTACTATCTTTTCAAAGAACCATATGTTTGAGATCTTTTAATGAAGTTATTTTTATTAAGGATACTTTCGGACATTTTTGCATCTTCCTTTTGCTTTAATATTAGAAATCATTAGCTGTCGGATGAAATATTGAGTGCTATTTGGTGATAATTTTCTTTTTTACCTTTCTCTGTGTTGAGTAGGAAACTGGTGTATCTTTAAGCTTTAATTTGTATTAAATTTATTTATATTTGACTATGTTTCAAAAGTTATTTCGCTCATTTTAATCTATGACATTGATTATGTACACACAAAAATTATTCATTCCGAAGTATTATGTTCATATATTTGTTGATATCAAAGAACAATAATATGTCATCAGTTTAATCGAAGATGCAGATTTGATCACTGTTTTTATTATGCTTCTCGAATAACAACTGATCATTATTCATAATTTTTTTTTATATGATATGTTTATGTACATTTTTTCTGTATATTTCAAGTTCATATAAGGTATCAGTGATTTCCTTTAAATTCATTTGGATTCAAAAGTATCAAAATATGAATCAGCACTTGGTCATGGCTACTTATACGTGAAAAAATGAACGATGAAACAGATTACTTTTGTATATGCAAAGTAGGAAATCGTTAAAATTTTCGAATGGATAATCTTTGGTCTCTTTTGCGCATTTTTATATGAATGTACAAATTTTGAAAGCTTTTTTTTTTTTTGCGGAATTTTGAAAAAAAAAAAAAAAAAAAGCTTTTCTCCAAGTAACCAAACAAATACCAAACTGCCATACAGTTATTGTTGTATGCTTATATCATTTTATTTACAATTTATGCATATTGTTTTTAATGATCATTGCTAGATTCTTTTGTAATGTTTTATAAATTTGATAGGAATGCTAATTTTGATTTAAAAATTATACTGAATAAAAGAAGTAATGAGCACTTGTTCGATGTTTGTTATATTATTTTATATGGTAATTCTTCATTTCCGTAAATTAGTCAAAATTCTTTGAAATAAAAATATGAGGACAGATACGCCCTTCCTAATTTATTTAATACTTTAAGAAAAGTTCTGACAATATTTGAGGATAAATTATTGGAACTAGGTGAAATTTCCTAATAAATTTAAATTTGAACTTTAATTTAGCTATAACATTTGAATTTATTCATGAAGTCCATCTGAAAAGATATAATTGAAGGAATGATAAATTGGAATTTATAGATAAATGTTGATATTTATCGAATAATGAGATTAATTATAGTCTAAAGTTTTAAATTATTATTTTAAATTAACTTCATTTGTTGCTTAAATTTTGTTAGCCAATATGAAAAGAAATAAAGTATTAAATTTTATTTGAAATTAAAATAAACATTGTTTGACATGCATTTTCAAAATTTTTTTTTCTATTATTTTTATTTTAATTTATCTCTATTTAAAAAAAGGAAGAAAAATTTCGATGAATTTATGAGTTATATTAGTATATCGAATATAATTGAAGTTATGAATTTATTTCAAAAACATCCAACACAATGTTTAATTGCAAATGTAATACTGATTAAACCGGTTAATATTAGGTCAAAATTGCTTTATTAGATCAAAATTGCTTTATTAGGTCAAATCAGACAGTAAATAGATAGTAGTAGGATTTTTTATATCAAATATTTAAATTCTAATAGATTATACTTAAAATGTTATCATATTCAATTATTGCTAATTTTTGTTTTTTATTAAATTGTAAATTGGAATTTATAAAAATTGTAAATTGTTAAACAATCTAATCATTAAAATTATTAAAAAAATATATTTATTAAAATAATTGAATATTAAAATAAATTATTAATTATTAAAATAAAAATAATCCAATAAATTTCGAATTTTTGCAAAAAAAAAAGAACAAAGCAGAAAAAAATGGTTAGTGAAATTAATTTGAACCATTTATAAAAGTTATAATTAATAGTTCAAATTATTTTTCAATTTAATGAAAATCAAAAAAAAGAAAAAAAAAACAGTATATACATAAAGGTATAGTAAGATTTGCAGAGAATAGATAAATTTTTATATTATAGCATCCAAAAATTAAAAATAAAAAATTTTTTTACATTTTCCTCTCAATTAAACTTTTAACTTTATAAATTCTTATCAATTGCTTATCAAAGTTTTAAAAAATAAATTCTTATCACAGATATGTGTTGAGAAAGAAGTGATAAATGAAGTAATAGTGATAAGTAATGCAATACTTTCATTTATTATCAAATTTTAATTTAGTGCAAAGAAAATATTTTAGAAATATTATTAGTATATCAGATTGTACTGTAAAAAAGATTGAAAAAATAATTCAAAACTAATTTTACATTTCACATAAGTGAATTTAGTAATACTAATAAAAAAATAATGAAATAAAATTAATTCGTTTTTATATCAAAAATAGCAATAATAAATATTATTTTATTATTATTATTATTATTATTATTATTTATTATTATTATTATTATTATATTATTATTATTATTATTATTATTATTATTATTATTACTATTATTATTATTATTATTATTATTATTATTATTATTATTATTATTATTATTATTATTATTATTATTATTATTATTACTATTATTATTATTATTATTATTATTATTATTATTATTATTATTATTATTATTATTATTATTGCTATTGTTGTTATTATTGTTAATAATATTATTATTGTTATTATTATTATTTACTTATCATTATTTACTTATTATTATTATTATCGTTATTATTATCACCATCGTAATATTGGTTTATATAATTTATAAGTTAGCTTCTGCTATTTTAATAGTCACTTTAAATCCTTTCTTTTTTCTTAACATAATTTTACCTACATTTTTGCTCACTCATTTGTTCATCAAATTTTGAGTACATTTAAAGAAATTGTTTGTCAACCTTTTAAAATGATCATATACCATTTGCCCTAAGCGATGTTCTACTTCAATTTCCAGTCCTTTATTCTTTCCCTTTCAATAATTTAACAAAGCAAAATCTACCTGTTTGTCATCACTGTCAATTTTTCATTCATCATTCACATCCACATACTTCTCAGTTAATTCATCCTGAATTTCGGACAATTCATTGCTGTCACATGCTTCCTTCATGCTGTCACATTGCTGTCACCCTTAGGCAAAATTAGTTCATTGGTTCAAATTGTTGCATTCATACACATTTAAATCATTATTTTTGTTCCATTTTCGTTTTTCTCTTTTCCTTTCTTTTGCTTTCAAATATAGGAAGATGAAATTCACTGTAATAATTATTAAAATTACTTTTCTTTTTTTTTGGGAGGGGTTAATTAGCATAAAAGTTAATTACTTGTATTTCTCTTATGGTATCACAAAGGAGTAATAATAGTAATAATAATAATAAATAATAGTAATGATGATGATGATGACTAAAATGAGTATATATATATATACCTTGTTCGTTAAATTTGATAATTAAAAATGAAAAGAGGGCAAATATCGGGAAAGAAATTTCCCGGAATCATCCTTCTTTTCTGTATCCAACCAAAAATTCATTTCCTTACAAAACTCATCGATTACATTTTGCTTTTTTTCATTAAAATTTGGTCACTCTTCAAATATATATATATATAGCATACACATACATATAAATTGTTTGTCACCAAAAATGTCAACCGTGTTGAAATATTTGTTGGATTGAATATTAGGACGAAAAGGAATTATATACTTTGGTTTATTTCATTAATTGAAATGAATTTTGCTTTTATTTGATTACAGAATTTTGCAAAATTTTCAATTTTACTTTTTTTTTTTTTTATTTTAATTTGCTTTAATTTAATTTTATTTGATTATGTATTATTTAATATTTTTCCAATAATGTTTTGAATTAATAAATTTTCATTTTCATTAAATGAATCCTAGAATAAAATTATTAATTGATAGATATCACTTGAATTTGATGATTCGCTTTTTTTTAATTTTAATTCCCAATTCTTTTTTTTTCTTTTTAAATAATTTTTGTTATTTTTTTATTCATTTAAATAAAATAGATAGAAATTTGAATGAAATGAAATAAAATATTGTAATATTAGTAGAAATTATTGTTAGAAAATGTATGCAAATAAAAAAAGGAAAATGTATTAAACTAAGATTAAAATTAATTTTACTAAAACTAATTCAATTATTTTAATTGAGAATTGTCACACAAATAACTGACAAATATATATATATTTTTTTTTTTTTTGAAAATTGTTTCATTGTTAAAGGGAGCAAATTTTATATTTATTATTAAATTATGATAAATGTATATTTTGATAATTTTTTTTTTTTTTTAAACTAATATTTAAAATTTTTAAATAATAACAAAAAAAAAAAAAAAATTAGAAAAAAGAAGAAAGAAAGAAGAAAAAAGCAAAATTATTTCTACCACATGTAATGATATATCGTAACGCTTTATTATTTACCTGTTGGACATTAATTTATGGGCAACCGTTACCTGCGCCACCTGGAATTGATGTTGGTTTATTAACTGATCAAGCACGACAATTCATTGATCGTATGTTTATTTATTTTTTTTCTCTCTCTCTCTCCCTCTCTCTTTTTTTTTTTTTTTTTTTTGTTTTTATTTAGAAATTTTTTTTACAAATATTTTACGGGTAAATTTTGCCCAACAGTTAAACAAAATAATTTGTTAAATTAAAAAACAAAAAAAAAAAAAAAAAAAAACGAATAGTTAAGAAAATTTTATGAAATATAGTATCACCATCAAATTGTACAATTTTTTCAATATTTGTAAATTTTTTTAAGGCATTTTTGTTATAATAAATATGATTTTAAAAAAAAAAAGTTTTTTTTTTTTGGTATATTTATTAATTTATATGTGATTTTTAATCAATTTATGATTATTTATTTATAAATTTTATAAAATAATTAGAAACAGATAAGAATTTAATGATTATTAATTATTATTTATTTATAAATTTTATAAATTATTACTTAATTTTATTCGCAGATGCTTAAATATGATCAATTTATTCGTAGTTGCATAGATATGAATTAATCAATTTATGTTATTTGTTTATAAATTTTATAAAATAATTAGAAACAGATAAGAATTTAATAATTATTATTTATTTACTTAATTTTATTCTCAATTGCCTAATTAATCATTTAATTTATTTATTTTAATTGTTTGCTACTTATATTAGTATTAATTCTTCTCCTACTACGCAATTAACTTATTAATTAGCTATTAATTAACAATGATAAAAATATTAATTATTTTACTTTATAAAATTAATTGTTACAGAAGTTTACCTAAAGGTAATTTTAGTAAAAAAATAATAAATTTTATGAAATTATCTATTGCATTATGCTTTTAAAATATTGGAACATTAATCTATGCTCTAAAAAAAACAAACAAATAGTTTCTATAGCTACTAAAAAGGTAGCAGCAATTTCAATAAAATTGAATTTCGTTTTCGTTTTTCTTTTTTCGAAATGCTATTTTGATAATAATTATGTATTCACAATAATAAGAAAATTCAGATTCAAAAAAAAAAAAAAAAAAAAAAAAAAAAAAAACAAAAAATCAAAAATTCAGAAAAAAAAAAGGAAAGGAATTAATTAAAATACAATTAATAAATATCTTTTATCATCTTCATTGATAATTTAAGGCCTTATATTTTGAAATTATATATTTTACAGTAACAAATTGAATTGATGTATTTAATTTGCATATGTTTAACTTTTAACTTATATTAATATCGTAGTATTTCTTTATGTTTCATAATTTTTCATTGCAAATTTAAATTTATTCCAAATTAAATATTTTGGATTTTAAATAAAGTTTTGAAATTCTGTCAATTAAGCGCTACTAGGAATATTTGCCAAAACGAAAAATGTAACTTGTTTAAATGGTTTGTTGATAAAATAGGATTAATGAACTAAGTGTACAAGTAAATAAAAATAAACTAAATATGTTTATTAATGATGATATTAATAATAATAATAACAATAGAAATAATAACAATAGTGGTAGTAATAATGATAATAATAATAATAGTAACAATAATAATAATAATAATAATAATAATAATAATAATAGCAATAATAATAATGATAATAATAATAATAATAATAATAACAATATTAATAGTAATGAAAATAATAAATGATAATAACAAATAATAATAATGATAATAATAGTAATAAATACTAATAATGACAGTAATAATAGTAACGCTAACGATAGTGATAATAATATTAACAAAAATAATAATAATAATAATAATAGTATTAACAATAATAGTAACAGTAATAATAATAATAATAATAATAATAACAATAATAATAATAATAATCGTATAGCACAAACATAGAATTAGTTGAAAGAAATATTTAAAAAAAAAAAAAAAAAGGAAAAAAAGGAAGGATTATTTCATTATTTGCACATCGATTTATTAATGTTATTATTTGATATAATATTTAAGAGTAATTTAATATATCGTTAAATGTTAAATTTGTTTTATAATATTTGCAAATGTAATTGAAGAAGAAAAGGATGAAATTTCCTCATTTATATTTTGTTTCAATTAGCACTCAAAAATTTTTATTGATTTTAGTTTATGGAATTGCTGCACAATTGATGAATTTCGGTGGTTCAATTATTAATAATGCAAAAAATGTTTACGATTCTGCCGGGTTATTTGTTTATTTTTTTTTTTGTTTTTTGTTTTTTTATTCTTTCATATTTAAAATCTTATAAAAATCATAGTATTAAAAATATATATATATTATATATTAATTGATAGAATATAAATTGTTGAGAATAATTATTTAGAAAAATGGCAATAACTTGTAAATAATAATAATACTACAAAATAATATCTTAAATATATTTTTGATTATTGTAATCAGTAACTAACCAAGTATTTTTACTAATTTATTTATTTATTTGTTTATTTATTTATTTTTTGAAATCAATATTTAAAAATATGATAATTGCAGTTTATCAGGAAATAGTGTATCCGGTGATTATATTCGACCATCATTTCATGATGATAGATTAAATAAACGAAAGAGTAGCATTTTTGGCTTATTACCATCTTTTGAATTTAATGATCGAACATACGGTAGTGATTACGGTTCTGTGCATCCAATTAAAAAAAGTGGAATTGAAACATTGTTAAATACTTTCTTAGGTTTGTTAATAATTTTATTTAATTAATCAAATTTTAATTTAATAATAAAATCATATATAAATAAAAAATTTAATTCTTATAGCTTTAAAAAAAAAAAAAAAGGAAATTTTTTTAAAATTTTTTGGTGTAAAATTTTCACATTATTATTTATAAAAATAGATTTTTTTTTTTTTTTAAATAAATTAAATAAAATTATTTGCACAAATTATTTTATTCATAAAAAAAAAAAAAAATTAGTTATTAATAAAAATAAATATTTTATAATAAATTTTAAAAATAAATTTATCGAAATTTTTTTTTTTTTTGAAATTATTGCAGGACCAACATTTTTTGGACAAACAACATTACCACCAGCAACAAATTTGGCTAATTTTTTTAAACCAGATTATAATTTAAGTGAAAATTATCATCCAGCAGGTGGTTCAAACATTGATCGAATAATTAATATGCTAAGAAGAAGTGGTGCACAAAGAGCTACACCAAATCCTGATAATTCACCAAATTTACTTCAAAGTATTTTTGGAAAATGATAGTAATTGTTGAGGAAATGCATAATTCATAGGTTGATAACAGTTGATAAATTCTAAAAGAGATAAAATTATTTAACTAACAATGCAAATAATTTTTTGTTTTATTTATTAAAAAAAAAAAATCTAAAGAAAAGAAATTATCACTATAAAATTATAATGATAATTTTATTTGTTTGATACGGGAAAGTTCAAAATGAATTTTTATTCATTTTAATGATTAATGATTATAATAAATTCAATTTAATCATATATGAATATATTTCTAATCAAAATTATCACTACATTTTAAATAGATATCATATTGATCCTCAGTGAGTTTACAATTTATTGATAAGAATTATATTATGATTTTAATGCTATCTTCTATCATATTGATTTTGTTGATAATATTATCAGTTACAAATGATAAAAGAAATTTCAGGACGAAAAGAGAAAGAAAAAAAAGTTATTAATAATAGGAAAAAAAAAGAAAAAAAAGATTTCATCTCAAAAAAAAAAATAAATAAGTAAATAACTCTATGAGATAATTTCAAATATTATTAATGATAAAATAACAAAAGATTAAATGAATGACAAATAAATAATAAGCAGCAAATAAGGAATAAGCAACAAGTAAAAAATAAAAGTAACAATTAAGAAATTAGTGAAAAGTTGAAAATAAATGACAAACAGTTAATCAATGGACGACAATAGGAATGACAAATAAATGATAAGTGATGAACAAGAATTATATGTCAAATAATAATATTAAATGATAAGTTAATAATAAATAAGCAATAAGCAAGAATTGAATGCTGGACAATAAGACGGAATTGAATGACAAATAAATGATAAGAGATGAGCAAGAATTATATGTCAAATAATAATATTAAATGATAAGTTAATAATAAATAAGCAATAAGCAAGAATTGAATGCTGGACAATAAGACGGAATTGAATGACAAATAAATGATAAGAGATGAGCAAGAATTATATGTCAAATAATAATATTAAATGATAAGTTAATAATAAATAAGCAATAAGCAAGAATTGAATGACGGACAATAAGACGGAATTGAATGACAAATAAATGATAAGAGATGAGCAAGAATTATATGTCAAATAATAATATTAAATGATAAGTTAATAATAAATAAGCAATAAGCAAGAATTGAATGACGGCGGACAATAAGACGGAATTGAATGACAAATAAATGATAAGAGATGAGCAAGAATTATATGTCAAATAATAATATTAAATGATAAGTTAATAATAAATAAGCAATAAGCAAGAATTGAATGCTGGACAATAAGACGGAATTGAATGACAAATAAATGATAAGAGATGAGCAAGAATTATATGTCAAATAATAATATTAAATGATAAGTTAATAATAAATAAGCAATAAGCAAGAATTGAATGCTGGACAATAAGACGGAATTGAATGACAAATAAATGATAAGAGATGAGCAAGAATTATATGTCAAATAATAATATTAAATGATAAGTTAATAATAAATAAGCAATAAGCAAGAATTGAATGACGGACAATAAGACGGAATTGAATGACAAATAAATGATAAGTGATGAGCAAGAATTATATGTCAAATAATAATATTAAATGATAAGTAAATAATAAACAAGTAATAAACAAGAATTGAATGACGGACAATAAGACGGAATTGAATGACAAATAAATGATAAGTGATGAGCAAGAATTATATGTCAAATAATAATATTAAATGATAAGTTAATAATAAATAAGCAATAAGCAAGAATTGAATGACGGACAATAAGACGGAATTGAATGACAAATAAATGATAAGTGATGAGCAAGAATTATATGTCAAATAATAATATTAAATGATAAGTTAATAATAAATAAGCAATCAGCAAGAAATGAAGACAAGTAAATACTAGGTGACAATTAATTTCAACAAATTAAAAAAAATGTATTCATATGCCTATTAGTATTAAATTATTTTTACAAAATAATTGTCATATGTTTTATTTGAATAGCAAATAATTTAATAAATTAATAAGCATGAAAAAAAAAAAAAAAAGAAATTTATCTTCAACAAAAAAAAAATAAATAAATGTAAATGCATTATTTATTTTTTTTTTTCACTTCTTTTGATTATTTAAACTTTATTGAAAATTTTTGGTTGAAATTTTTTGAAATTGAAAATTTTATATTTCACTATTAACAGTGAAAGGTTACACATTACGAATTCTCTTTCTTTCCAAGGCCATTAATACTATTTAAATTGTCAAAAGTAATTGCACAAAATGAAAAAATGTGGAAATGCAACTGATTTTACAATAAATTGTTTAACTTTTTTCATTTCTTTTTCTTTTTTACGATAGATGAGAAGAAAAGAAAATATTATTTTGATATAACAAAAGAAAATTTCAACTCTTTTCTTCTCTTTCTATCATTTTTTTTTTCAAATATTTTATTACAATTAGATAAGAAAATTAAATCTTATCATTTGGTCGGTCAGTTAAATACTATATTTTATTTATGATATGATAATTTCATCTTTTCATTTATCACACTTTTATCACTTTTATGATCAAAATTTCATTTCATGATATCGTATTCTTTTTTGAAAAAAAAAAAAAAAAAGAAAAAGAAAAGATATTTGAATAAATATTTCATTTTATTAAATAAATAAAAAAAATGTTAATAAAAAAAAAAGTATGTGCATTAAACAATATGCAAATTCAAATCTATGAAATTACTGCTAATGTCCTCTTTAATTATCACAAACTGCAAATTTATACGTTAATGTTTGTTTTCTTAAGTAATCGTTTTTAAGTAATCAATTTTAAGTATTAATCGATTTTAAGTATTAGTCTGCTTAAATTATTTCTGATTTCCTGTTTCAGATTAAACTCATTTAATTGCTAATTAATGAACATATATGTGTATGAATTAGCTTTATAAATGAAATCATCATAATATCCCTTTTAATAAGGATAATTAAGCTTTTATCAAAAATTTTATAAATTATTTTCCAACCGATATTCCTACTATTTGCTGACTTTTATTGCATTTATCTTAATGAACAAAATATTTAATTATAAATTAAAATTCCAATTTTTTTTCCTATATCTTGTAAACTTTATACAACTTCAATGCTGTATTTATTACGATAAAAGTTTAAAAGTTGTATAAAACAATTCAGTGCAATGAGTATTTGTCTTAGCGTTTGAGATTTTTTAATTTTGATTATCCATTTTTATAATTTTTTAATTTTATCCAATGCTAAATTGGAAATAAAAATTTCAGTTACATTGGCGAATACCCATGATCTCATCATTGAAATCAAATTATTATGGAAATGTGCCTATTAATTTTTTTTTTTATTAAAAGAAACATTTAATAAAGTATCATGGAAATAAGCTGATCCTGGTACATTTTAAACTATTTCATACTTTTAAAGTTTAAAAATTAATAAAAATTATGTTTGATAATATTTTGCTATTGCAAATTAAAAATTATCATTATAAATTAAAAATTTAAATGTGTATAAATTGCTATTGTGAGTAACATTTGCGCTTATTTGGATGAAATGTCGATGAATAAATGCAAATGTAAGCGATGAATTTTCTGCAATTTTGAAACTTATAAATTTAGTTTTTATTTAAAATAATAGCTAATATGTGTTTGATGCAATAACTGTTATAAAAACGAAGTAAACCAATTTCGGTAGTTCCATTCATGAATTAATTTTAAAATTAAATAAAATTTAAAATTTATAAATTCAACAATATACATGATGTCTCATGCAATCATTAAACTTTATTAAGGTACGGTAAAATGTAAATTTAAATTTTATTAATAGCATTGGAATTTAATGTTTTGGTTTGTTCTCTTTTTTTTTTTTAATTTTATTACTCAACATTCTCTCTGTCTTTTTTTTTGTCATCTAGGAGAAGTTAAATGTTTTTATTTAAAAATATAAAAATGATAGTGATGATTCATTTTATCAGTAATGTTTTCGTGCTTTTTTTTTTTTTTGAAGACAAATTTCATTACTAATGCATTTCAGTTGATTAAATTAAATTTCATACAGGGTGCAGAGAAAATTAAAACAATAGTAAATAAGCAGAGATATGATAAATAGTATAATAATCGGCATATCAAAGAGAAATTTTTGCATAATTAAATCAAATAGATACATTTATTCGTTAACATATCTGCTATAGGCAGTTCATTATCATAAGAAAGTAATTTTTATGTTTAAGTATATTTTTAAACTATTTTATAAAATATATGTGATAAAAATAAAATAAGAAATATTAAAAAAAAAAAACAAGAACATTGAAAACAAAAAAAATTTCGAAGGAATTTAATTAATTAGCCAAGAATTTGAACAAATTTTTCAAATTTTATTATATTGAATTTTTGTTTTGGATTTGTTTTAAAAATAAACAAATCTATTTGTTCAATGTTAATGTTTTTTTTTAAAAAAAAAAAGAAATTAAAGAAGGATAAGATGATAAGTACAAGAGAAATAGAAAGATAAAAGTAAAAAAAAAGAAATAAAAGTAATAGCGTTTCTGAAAATGTACTCATAATGAAAAAATTTTTTATGAAATAATTCTTTATTAAAAAGTAATTAAATTAATTTCATGGTAAAAATTAGTAGAAAGACAGTGAACTTTTTCATTTTTTTGCTATTTAAAAAATCATATTAAGCAATACTTTAACTTTATAAAGTACTGTGCTTTATAGTATACTGTAAGTGTACTGTAAGTAAGTATACTGTATATGTTTTATGCATAAGGAATACTGCAATTAAAAAGACTAATTAGGATTTTCAATATAATAAGCATTGCAAGGAAATCATACAATTAGTAGCATAGAGTACATTTGATATTTGATTTTATAAAACATTATGTATACTGTAATACCGTAATCTCTGTAATTTGAAAGATAACTTTTTGTTAAATTAAAAAATTTAATTTACCATTACAAATTAATGATGTTTTTCATTGCATTGTTAATTGT